AAGGAGGAATGGCAGAGGATCCCCAAATGCAGGTGTGAAAACTTGTTGCATCATTCCCAAAAGGACTCATGGCTTCTAGAAGGGTGCTTCTACTAAATACTGAGCAAAGGGTCTGAATACTTATGACCATGTGATATTTCAGTTTTTCTTTTTTAATAAATCTGCAAAAATGTCAAAAATTCTGTGTTTTTCTGTCAATATGGGGTGCTGTGTGTACATTAATGAGGAAAAAAATGAACTTAAATGATTTTAGCATATGGCTGCAATATAAAAAAAGAGTGAAAAATTTAAGGGGTCTGAATACTTTCCGTACCCACTGTATTGATCAAACACCCTATGACCTTCTGACATCAATGCAAAATGTAAACATCAGTGTTGTGTGCACCTTAATTTGGATAGCCAGCCACATACATAGGCATTTCTGGTGAAGACCTGTTCTTTTCTAACTGGACAACAAAAGCCAGAGATGCAGCTAGCATTCTGAGACTGGGAATTCACACAGAGAGTGAGCAGCGCGTAAGCTACCTTTGTGCAGCATCACTGTCATCATAATAGCTGTTTGTCTGTCAGCAGGACAGTGACCTGACAAACGGTCTGTGGAGATTATGCTTTGTTAAATGCACCAGAGGGAAGAAATAGATTTGAAGCGTAAAACACACGAGGAGTCCAGAGGTGACACACACTTCACATGCATGTGTCCGAGTCTCCAACACATCTGACAGACTGGAGTTCTATCTGCTGCGTAAAACAGGCAAGTGACAAAACGCTTTCTGTGAGAACTGGTCTTGACCTGTAGCAGCCAAGAAAAGTAGGTAAAGTAAACTTTCCCATCAGAAAGACATCATGGGCATGGAAGTATTCTGGATTAAAAAGGACACACACACACAGCAATACAGATGTAGCCATCTTAAATTGCTGGATGGGCCACAGTGAAACTATCCTTGATCCATGACAGGTCCCTGACAGGCCCCTGCTCTTACGGTGTATCCCCTGAGATGACACAGTGGTCACAGCACCGCCTTGTTAACACCCCTAAGCACCATGCGGGGTTCAAGCTACACACAGGAACAGGAATCCACCATAGGGCCTATGCGCTGGCTCCAGTACAAGCACTGCCCCACCCCAGATATAGATTTCAGTAGTTATGCAGTAGTTGCAATGCATTCAACACTGCGGCCGCTAATTCGCCCAGATGGGTAGACTGGGACTCAATTGCCTGATTTGGACGTACACATGCAACTGGTGGTAAATGAGTGATTTAATGTGTTTGTGCATCGGGTTACCATTGCAGTTGGGTGGCTTGTCAGGCACTTCACGTACAGCACCCATGCATGCAAGGCACCGGAGGCTGCACAAGAACAAATGAAACTACCAAAACACCAGCTCATCCAGTCATGCAAAACTAAGTGGAGGTCTGCGTGTGACACGTTCGGAAGACTCTTCGAACAAAAGCGATTACAGCTGTTTTGTCTGACCGAACAGTAACAAAGCTGCTAGAAGCCAGAGCCATCATGATCCTAAATGAATACTGGCAGATAATGGAGGAGATTATGCTCGTGTTGGAGACTTTAAAATGTGCAACTACTGTCCTTTTCCCATCGCCTTCTGCCTTCTGAACACACATCTGATGAGAGCTGAGGATGAAGCACAAAGAGTGACAAAGTTCAATGTGAAACTTCGGCAGCCCTTGAGTGATCACATTAGGGTAGGCTATTCAATTAATAAAGTTAATTTACATTTTTGTCAATTTCCCTCATACCCAAAATGTACTGTACGTATGCTTGGGTCAGAGTTTCCAAACAGATACATACATTCTCAAATTTGTAAATCGTACTTCCTTTCCAGAAGTGGCATATGGAATTTTCAAGCCCCAATTTGTGCATAACCAACTGTTATGAGGCCCTTGAACATGGTGTTTTCCTTGCATTCTGTTCATTACATGCTAAGCTACCTTTCACCCTCCTTTAGCTTTAAACATGAGGAAGGTGGCATAGAAGATGGACAGACAGACAAGTCTTTGAGAACATGACAGAAAATGCCTGTTGCACTGCTCAAAAGCAAGCCAGTGTTTCCCATCGGCTGTCACAGGCAAATAAACTTCGCTCACTGGGGTGGGGCCAAAAGTGCAAGATAATTCAAATTTGTAAATCAGACAACAGGTGGCACGGTAGCGCAGGTGGTTAGCACTGTTGCCTCACAATGAGACAGTTCCAGGTTTGAGCCCCGGCTGACCCAGGCCTTTCTGTGCGGAGTTTGCATGTTCTCCCCGTGCTTGTGTGGGCTCTGTCTGGCTTCCTCCCACTGTCCAAAGACATGCAGCATTGCATTGGCGTCTCTAAATTGCCCGTTGGAGTGATTGTGTGTGTGAGTGTGTGTGAGTGGTTGTTAGTCTGTGTGCCTCTCGCCTGCAGCTGGCTGGGATTGGCTCCAGCCCCCCGTGACCCCGTTTGGGACTAAGCGGTATAGAAAATGGATGGAAATCAGACAACATTAAAAATCTTGTTCTGCCACATGTGGCTTCCACATAAACAGAATAAGCAGCTCACCTTTCCATGATGTGCTTTACACCACTCTGACATCCCTTCCAGCACCTCATCTGGCTGATTAATTATCAGGTTGGGCCCCTACCAAACAAGAAAAGGTGAGGTTAATGCAAAAGACAGGAGACAAAAGTACAATAGTGTTTATGTTTATATTACCTCAGCCAAAACATTCAGGTCCGAGTCCGTGATAATGCATGCCATTTCAATGATCTGATCCTTCTCAATGTCAAGACCTGTCATCTTTAAAGAAAAAAAAAACAGAGAGAGAGACTTAGTCCATTAATATAAAGTCAGGGAAAAAATTATTTGTACCCCAGCTGTACAGTCACTGGCCACTTTATTAGGTGCACTTTGCTAGTACCGATTTGGACTAGGTCAGCAATGATATTCTGGTAGGCTGTGGCTTTTAAATGATGCTCAGTTGGTACTGAAGGGCCAAAAGTGTGCCAAGAAAATATTCTTCACGCCATTACACCACCAACACCTGCCTGTACCACTGATAGAAGGCAAGATAGAGCCATGCTTTCATGTTGTTTACACCAAATTCTGACCCTACCATCCGAATGTTAGGACTGGGTTTAAAAAAAAAGAAATCTTTTAATATATGCCTTTTTCTATGAATGCATAAAGTGGTAATCCAGTTAGGCTTCTTCATGCAACAAAATGTGGCCCCGTGAGACTTTAGTGAACCATCCTCAGGTGAATCAGCATGCAGGGCTCTACAGTGTGAGCATTTCACTTGCATATGCATGTAAAAAATCTGTGTGCAAGTATTAAATTTTTTTTGGGCACAGAGGTGCAACTGACAGAGCAGTGCTTAGCTCCTGGACACATGGAGCAAAGAGCAGCTGATGAAAGTGATTTTACATTTAGAGTGAAATGTTTAAGTAACTAAAAAGAGAAGTTAATGCTGAATCACTGTGGGGAAAGACTTTGCACACCAAAAAACGGCAATAGCTGTAAACTGTGGCATCTGGTTGGATGAAAAGGCAAGGCATACGTAACAAGAACCCTTTAAAAACCATTAAAAAAGAGGAACAACCGCTTGTTCAGCAGTTGGAGCAGGAGGCCCTGTCCGGTTGTTTTTCTGACATCTGCCCTACAGGCCACCATGCACAGATTTTTCAGCCTTTTAGAGTAGCTCCTCTTTGCTACTCTGACCTTCTTTGTCAGTGTGGTTCTAGCCTGGTTATACACTCATGTAGGCCTTCTCTTTGGCATGGCGGAGCTGTTTGAGCTTCACTGTGAGCCAAGGTTTATCGTTATTGTATGTGCAGAGAGTCTTAATGTATGCAATACAATGGTCCAAAAGCCCAAGGGCTGCAGGGGAAACAGAGCAATAGGCGTCCTTAATTACAGTATAGCAATGGTCCAATGTGTTTTTGTCCCTGGTGGGAAACTGACATGTCTGTATCTGGGCAGTTCATGAGTAAGGTTCGCTCACTCTCTATCTTTTTTTTGAAAATTGGTTTAACAGTAACATCATTTCAGTTGCTTAGTCAATGGTCAGTTATACAGTTACTGAGAATTCCTCTCAGTTCATTCCATTCCTGTATCACCAGAGGAATTGTCTTGTCTTTGATGCAATTCAAATTTTATCTGTATTGCACCAAATCACAACAAAAGTCATCTCAGGACACTTTACAAAGTCAGGTCTAGACCTGACTATTAACACTATTATTATAGAGGACAACCCAACAAATCCCCCTTGGGATTCCCTCAGGTGTAATTATGCTGCTAAAAGGGTATTCTTTCTCAACACATGTCGTTTTAGATTTTGATCCCAATAATACAGATGTAAGCAAAATAAGCTTCCCAGTGAAGTATCACAGCAATAAAAGAGTTAGAACACAACAATTTACAGTGACTGTAGCTCATGTAGTATCATACTGGAACACTCCTGTTAGAAACATAGCTCGTTTCCAGGTTGCAAGTGAGAGCAGACGTCTTTACTGCTCCTCTTGTCTGTTCTATATTTCAAGTCTTTGAGCATACTTTACAACTACTAAAATGCCTCAAAGAGCAAAAAGAGCTAATAAATCAGAAGCGACGAAGGATATGGAGGCAGAAGAAATGTGTCAGAGTGGCGCAAGTTAAAGATATCGTGGATCATGAGAAACAGATATTCATTGCGATGCTGAACCAACAGCAGGAGTGCTTCAAAGGCTTTGTGCAACTAATTATGGAGACAAACAACAAGAGATTCGACGAATTGACCAGAGAAATACAGGAGATAAAAACGAGTTTGCAGTTTACCCAGCGAGAGGTGGATGTGATAAAGACTGCCATGGGTGAACAGAAAATACAAGCCAAGGAAGCGAAGGAGGAAGTCTACAGAACGTGTGAAAGTTTAATGACTATAACGGACAACATGGAGCATCTGGAAGCACAGGGAATCAAGGAGACAACTGGAGAAAGCTGGTCGGAGGCAGAAGGTAAAGTGAAGGAGATTCTGAAAAATAATCTGCAAACATTCAGATCATGGTCTGAGGGCGGTATTGGTGAAGTTGATGAGAGAGAAAGATAAGGCACAAATATTGCAACAAGCGAAGAAACTCAAAGGATCTAACATTTACATAAATGAAGATTACACCGAGTATGTGAGGAAGAAAAGAAGGGAATTGATGCTGAGGTTAAAGGAGGCCAGGGAGAGGGGAGACATCGCGTTCCTGAGGTATGATCGACTAGTGACCAGACCTCAGAACCAGAATCCAGGACCCAGGACCAGCACGCTCAGGATGCCAAGACAAGGAGATGATGGGGTATCTGGACCCTCTGATGTTTGAAGAGTCACACAGGTATATCGATATCTGCGATGGCAGATGAGCGTTGAAACCAACAACAACAAGTATGACCCATGTACAGAATGAGGCAAGTGATTTGTTACAGAAGTTAATAGACTTTGAGGGACTGGAGCTGGAATTGAACACTACTGGAGATTCTGAAATTCATTATCATGAACCGGATGAAGATTTTGACCCTAAAATATTTTTTTTTAAGAACTCTGAAAATAACTGCAAGTATTACACGGATGAGCAGTTTAACAGCAATGTCAAGACTGAGAACAAGCTATCATTAATTCACTTTAATAGCAGAAGTTTATATGAAACTTTCAGAGTATAAAACATTATCTTAGTAGTCTAAAACGTTCTTTTAATATAATTGCTATTACGGAAACTTGGATCAACACTGCAAGAGGAATGGATTTTGAACTTGAAGGCTATGACTTGGTATGCATAAACAGAGAGAATAAGAAGGGAGGAGGTGTGGCCTTGTCAATAGC